AAAAGATTAATTCCCAGCTGCTTGGCAACCATCTGGACATTCTACTGGTTAAAACACTAGTTTGAATTGCTAACCTACCCCTTTGATCTTTCTCAACGTCTCCAGCCCATATGTGCAATAATTAAAGACATAGTTCACAAACTATTGCAAAAAAAAAATAATAAAATAAATAAATAACTGTCCATGTACATCTAGATCTCCACAACCAGCCTGATTGGTATCAGGAATTATAAATCAGCAGCCAGTTTATGAAAACATGTCTCATCTTGACATCCACTGTGTGTCTCACACCAGTCTAGCAATAAAATAAGGTTTGGGGTTTATAACATTACATTCTGAGGAGTTATCAAAGCAAAGCAGGATGTGACTTCCTCACAAGGAGCACAACGGACAACTTGCACATGTTTTTGGGAGCAGGACATTAATCAGCCAGGAATTATGTTAGCAGCAGTCAAGATTGCTGTGATTTTAAATATGAACGAACAGATTCCTCCTCAGGACATTTACTCAGTGGTGAGAATCAGTTTACAACTGGATTCTCCATATAAATCACACCCTGCATTCAAAACAGACATGGGGGTCGTGGAGAAAAGGAGAAAATTCAAATTAACCAGAAAATAGTTGCTGTCACTGCCTGAAATATTTTCAAGGGGAAATAAAACAGTGTTTTCAGAAGCAAGTTGTCATAAGAAAAAAAGTTACAGAAAAGCAAAAATCACAAAGAAATTATGTCATATCTGCCTTTTCTTGTCCCCTCATATGGGCCACACTTGCGTGAACAGTAAGCAACACATGTTCTTACATTTTAACAAGAATATTCACCAGAATTAAAAACCTTAACAATCTTTACCCTGGGAAATCAGCATGATATTTATGAGCAGAAATATGGCTTGGACAGTCCCCAGTGAACAGGATGACAAAAGGGAACAGCAAAGGAAGAGAAGTGGAAGAATAGCGGGATAATAATAAAAAAAAAAAATCCAACACACGAAGCTCCAGTTATTTTTAGACTCAGGTTTTGGGCCCATTCAAATGCTTCCACAAAGTTCATCAAAACCACTCTCCTCCTGTTATTAAAAAGCACAAACAGCCCCAGCACATATCTGAGGAGGCTCCTTGAGCTGTATCCAGCTCGCCTGATTCCATCCACAGATGTTTATATATCCATCCACTGAGATTTAAACTCTAGAGACACACACTCTTAACTCAATGTATTACACAAGAGAACAATACTGATGTGTTTTGTTACCATCCTTGGAATATATGAATAAAATGCTTCTTTTCAATAAGGAAAAATATAAAATCTGTGATGTAGCTAAAGGCACAGTAATGTTAATTTTACAGTGGTTTAATTACAAGAGTCCTTGTTTTAGGATATTGTCTTCATATTTGGCTTATTTATTGCTTGTATTTGGCATGAATTCCATATATTTAAATACTTCACTATGGAACAGGGCAATTAAGAGGAAGAAATCAAACCCAGCAGCACAATGCCCACTGATCACCATCTCCTAATTGCAGGGACTCTTATCTTCAAATATTCTTTCCCTTCTCTTTTCCATGCTAACACCAGCCAGTTTTATTCACTCTTCCTCCTGAGTTTTACAACTTTCTTTCCTCCCTGCATTCTTTCCCCTACATTCTCTATATGGTCCCTCTTGGGGGAAATCCATATCACAGCCCTCATGCAATTTGCTCTGTTTCAAGTTATAATCTCCTGCCAGATAAGTGAGAAGCACAGTAAATCTGCTGCTTTCAACACCTTCCACCCAGAGCCCTTTTAGCCAGACCATGACTTAACTATATCAGCACTGCAGATTTTATCTTCATGGAAATATATCACTAGATCCCAACACTTCTGGTACAATAAAACCATATAAATGGCTTGATGATCTTTATAAACAAAATTTGTGTCAAGCAGTAAAAGGGAGTGCTCATTCCCAAAATAAAAGGAGAAAAACAGAAATAAAGATTGCAAAGATGAAGGTCCTAAATAGCTTTTTAAAAAAGGCTGCATCCTAAAGATAAGACTTCTTGAGTCACAAACCCATAAAACACTCTTCACTTTCCATGTTACTTCTGGTCCTTGATCCATGAAGATGCATTTTCAGGGAAAAAAAACAACAAATTAGGTCTTTTTCCCATTCTCTGTGTTCTCTGATATCTTACAGCAGCTATCTCACCTCTCCTTTTGCTCTGGTGTGCTCTCTCTTCCTCATTCCCCACCCCAAACTGCTGGAAGTTATCCCACAGGTGTTCTCCCAAAAACCCAGGCACTGCCTTCCCCAGAATTCCTCCTCCTCCCCCCAGCTGCACAACCATTTAGTCTGGGCTGCTTTAGCACACACGAAGCTGGAAAAGCACCAGTGGCTCCAGTGGCCAAAGGCTTTATCACTGGATTCCCAAAAATCAAAACAGAGGAGCGACAGGAGCACAGTGATAAAATCAACAAAAACATTGGAAACGCTCAATGTTCTCAGTTAACCCAGAGAGATGAAGCTTCAAAATTTATTGCATAAAGCATTGAGCTTGCCAGTTTGTCTGAAAAATAAATAAATTAAAAGCTGGTACACAACTCAGTATAATTTTATTCTAGGTATAACCTTCAACTGAAAAGTGAAAAGTATTTCCAATACGCCTCTGATTTGTTTAGGCTTCCTTTGTTGAGATAAGATAAATAAATATCTTTGCTTACAAAATAATAAAATAGAAGGAAATTGAGAAAAAAATGCTAATAATAAACAAGACTGACAAAATGAAAAATTAAGAAAGTGAACTTCTTTAAAGAAACACCAAAATGTCTTGAAGTAGTATATCAGATAAACCAGTTGTTTGAGAAAGGTTAGAAGAAATCAGTTTATTAACATAGCTGATTTTATTTTCTCATTCCAGAAGAATTCCAAACCTGTATCTTAGCAATGCTACTGAATCTGTTTTTCTGAAAAATCACAAATCAGACTTTTCCCTTCCCCTTCCTCTGCCCCGTGGAGCTCTGGGTGACACAGGGTGGCCAGAGGTGAAGTTCAAAGGGACATTTTCCCTTTTTATCAAGACAGGCCAATCACCCCATCTGTCGTGCTTTGCTGTCCTGCTGAACATGGATTTATTCCTGTTGGGTTGCATCTCCCTTGTTTAAACCCATGATTTTTCAGTAATGTCCATTTCCCAAAAGGTTTAATCCATGTCAGAAGTATCTGGGGAAGAGAGATGACTAAAAGCCGCTGCCTGATGACACCGGCGTTCTCGCAGAGCTGTGATGTGGTTATCACTGCTCATGGCCATGTGTTCAGCATTACAGAGTCTAAACAGGTGCAGGAATGCTTTATGAACAAAGGTCTAAAGGTTAAAAGCAAAAAACCCCACAGTTATCCTATTTTATGTTCTCCCCTTGTACTACAAAGACGTTGAAAACAGTTGAAGGTTCCCCCAGACTTTTTTGTACAGCACCATTTCTCTGCTAATACATTCACGTTCTATAAATGAGAAGGACTTTATTCCTAATTGAGCTTCACAAACAAAGTAAGATGAAAACACATTTAAGTTTTCTCGTTAATAGCACGCACATGGTGATTGTGAAACGCTGTCTGTAACCTTTCCAGTTCAAACCAGCACCATTAGCAAAAAGTCCTGGATTTTTTAATGTGTGGCTTAGAGGATTTTTCCACTGAACTAACAAAGTATTAACTGGGTATTTTATGTATCTCCTTGGCATGCATTCCTGTTTATTTAATTTGAAAATATTGTTTAAATGACAACATTGTGCTTTCAATTTATTTATTTCTTGGGCTATTTTCACATCTTATGAAACCTTGCCTCATCCTGAGGCACTGGTGGTTTGAACATTGTCAATACAAAAGAACAGTCAATAGCAAAGCAGAGAAAGTGAAAGGCACGTGGATTCTGCAGCTGCTTGGCTGAGCATCGAGTGAGGCAGCCAGGTAGCACCAGAAAACTTTTCATACACATTATTTTATTAACAGCTGAAGGATCTGCTAACCAGTTTTACCCTTCTCTGTATCTCTGCTAAAGATGTTTTCTGAATCGTCATGAAAGTATCTTCAGGACAGTCCCAATCCATGTGTCCTTACAAGACACCAAGGAAATGGAAGGATATTTTCCTGCTTTCCCCCCCAACTCAGACATATTTGGGGTACTTTGTGGGTTTAGATCCTTCTGAATAGAAGGGAACTATGTACATATGTCTCAATTTTCCAAGAGCATATGGCTGAAATCAGAAATTTTAGATGAGACAAACAGAGCTGAGTGCTGAATTTGGTTTTTTTGTTGATTTTTTTTTTTATGATTGGTTGGTTTGGTTTGGGGTTCTATTCCTTGTTTTCCAAATGCCTTTTCCTAACCTTCAGATTCCTTTTCTGCCCATTAATTCACTGTCTTTCAAAAAAAGAAATGTGTTAAATAAAATCAGCAGCTTATGACAAAATACCTCAGGCAGTCGACTTCCTCAAAGCGTGAAAAAGGTGAAAATGACCACAAAATTTTACTTTTACACATATTCAAGGCAAAAATACATAGTGTGAGAAAATTAGATAGCAAAGCTTGGACAGCAATCTCAGGAATTCACAATGTTAGAAAGAAAGATATAAAGTAAAACGCCGTATGACCAAAAGAGGATTTGAGTTCATGGAGGAAAATACAGAAATAATGTAGATCAGAAATAAGGTCAAAATCTGCTAATTTTGAAAGGTATATGGAAAGTAAACAAAATCAAATCACTAAATCAAAGGTTTCACTGCCTCTATTAAAAGGTAATTTGGAAAATTCCTAGAATTCAAACTTCTCTTCACTAAAAATTCTTTCAAAGGATCGGTAAATGTGTTCAGAAAGTCCTTTTTTTACTCCCTAAATAACTGGGAAATCCATGAAGTATTTAATGACAAGCCCTGTCACTTCAGCAAATTTCTCTTCCATGCAATTTTCTGCTACAGTAACTTCCTTGTTAATGCCCTTTTTCCAAGGAAAATGCCTTAAAAGAATCCTACCTCTTTCTCCTGCATTCGAAACAGCTCATGGTTTTGTCGAGAGGGGCTGCTCTGTCCAAGGTCAATTTTAGGTGTCATCTATTGAAGAAAAAGTTCAAAACAGCAAATGAAGTCAAAAACAGTAAATCCAAGTACAATCAATCCCAACCAGTGATTAAAAATAACATAAAATGCTTGTTTGCCCTTCTGAAATATCAAGGGAATAGAAATACCTACCCAAGTCACCCGTTTTTCTCGCAGATATCTGGGGTTTTCTATCTGAAAAACAAGGCAGAGAAAAATCAGCAGGTCAACAATGTCTGATTTAGTCCAAGATATCATAACTGAACTATATTGAGCACAGGAACTGCATCACTCAAAGAACCACAGATGAGATGACAATGTACCTTAAATGTTACAGAAACAGGAGATCTTTCTAAAAGATCACTTGGTTGGAAATCTACTCAGCAATTTTGATAATGTAAATGGACAAAAAATTGCACTTTTTTCCCTCCCCACTCTTGTGGTTGTAAAAATTCCATCAATGCATATTATAAAAATATTTGGCAGCTACATACATAGGCTTATGCAAAATATTTCCAACTTTATTGGCTAAATTCTCACTGAAATCAGTGTAAAGCTACAATACATTTACAGATTATATTGACTAAAATCTGGTGCTTTTGAAAAATTACATTTGGGTGCGTTGAAACTAGAGCCACACATGTAAGTTATAGAGACAAAACATAAGGAAATAATTCATTAATATGGCTACATAATTAAAACAGTTCTCTTAATCACTATTTTTAAGAACTGGATACAAAGCATTGTTCCCAACCCACTTCCTCTATCAGACAGTTCTATCTTTCTCATTTTCTCAGACGATGAGGGCTCAAACATCACATCACAGAGAAAGCAGAATGCCCAAAAAAAGCTTTCAAGGGTATAATCTTGTAAAATGTGGCAGTGAGATTTGGAATAGGAATGAGATGGCAGTACACATTAAAAAAAAGAAAATGTTGTAGGATTAGGTTGATCTACGAAGCATGGCAAATATATCAAATGCTTGCACTTTCTGCAGTAGTATGAAATATATTTGTGTGTTGAATTTATCAGTGGAAAAGAGGCTTAATCCCTCTGAAATTTCAATTTGATACAGTTATTCATTTCCTGTCCCAAAAGGTGATGTAGGATTTCTGTGTGGTGTTGAGTTGTCATATCTCACCCAGAAGTCGTTGCACATACTCACATTTAACACATACATTCAATTTCAATGAATGGCATTATCCAAATTTTTAATACAGAAGCAGAAAGCATCAGGAAACCAATAATTTAACAATAACCTATTTATTGTCAGGGAGTTTACTAAAACAGACTAAACTTTCTTTCACACAAAGTACCCTGTGTTGGCATCCACGGGCAGCCACCAGGGAATGAAGGAATCCTGGGTGCACCCAGTGCCACAAAAATGAGGAATTTTGGACACAGAGGAGATTGTGAGGAGAGGAATACAGGAGAGGGCTCAGCCTGGAGCACCAACCACAGGAAATCCAGTGGAGGGGAAGGAAAAGCAAATCAATAGAGAAGGAAATAAAAGGTATAGAAATTCCAAACTGGAAACATTTCGGAGGATTTTCTTTGTCCTACACATTTGTACCTGCAACAGGATTTTCTACTTCCATTTTACTGCTATTATGTTCCTCCTCCCACCTCAGTTTGGCCACTTCCCCATCCAGCCCACACTCCTCATCACCCCCAAGGCTGAAGGTGTTTGCCAGAAGCTCAAGGTACTCCCCAGCTTGGCATCACTGGGAGCAGTGGAAGCCTTCACCAATACCTGGTAGAATCTGGAGAAGGCTGCAGAGCCACATTTCAAAAGCTTAATGATTTCCCAAAGCCCTGTCTCTCGTGCAGAACCACCCTTTACTTTGGCTCTTTTTAAAGCTAAAAATTGTTGTAAATATTTACAATTAATTAAAATCCTTTGTCTGCCCATGACATTCAGCTGTTTGCAGCCTTCACTTCAAAACCAATCTGAAAAGCTTAGGTACATCCTACTTGTTTATGGGAAAGAAGGAAAACGTTTCTCTAATACTTTGTAGGGCCCAAGTCTTGCATTTTTTGATTTTGTAACAGCAGCCATATGTGCTTTGAAGTTAAATGTTCCCACTTTGTTACTTGTTGTGGATTATATCCACTTAAACTGATCTGTAAACATTTAATGCCTCAACATTCATTTTTTTCATGCCGGTCTTCTGCAAAACTTCTTGTTCTCCAAATTAGACCACATTAAAGAGGGAATATCACAATAAAGAATGCCCCAAAAAAGAAAAAAAAAGGTCTGTATTTATGAGAAACATGCAAATTTAAAAATAATAAGCAAAAGGTCAAAGACAAGCCAAAATGCATATGTATGAAACTGAATGACTGCCATGAGAAGAGCAGTAAATCACATGCTTTTTTAAGAGTATGAACCAAATAAATGTCATCATGAAAGACATCTTTATTTGAACTAGAACTGAACTCTAATTTGTAAATACCACTTCTTAACAGAAACGGTATTTTGAATGTCTTTGTAGAAAAGATTTTGGATTCTCCTGTTCTATTAGGCAGTCTGACAAGGAATCACGTTTCAATTCGTGTGGAGTGCAACGGTCACCTTCTCCTCCTAAACCAGAGCTGTGAAGGTGTTGGGTGATCAGATCCCCATGAAGAAATCCCCATCACCTAACAGAGATAATCTACTTCATTAAAATATATATTTTTTCTTAAATTGAAAAAAAAGTATTGCAGAAACATACATAAAAATAAAATTCTGAGACTGCATTTCAGGCAGATGAGCAATAATCTGTAACTTCAGTATTTTTAATTTCTATTTCAGTATTTTTAATTTCTATTTATTTTAACAACACTTAAGTCATCAAAGTGAAATATTTATGAGTTATACAATTTTAAAGCTATCAGTGAGTGAAGCACTGACAAAAGTTGAAATGCTTTCCCCCAAAAGCAAGGACAGTGCAGGAAAAGCACAATTTTGAGCTTTAACTACCTCCACAAGTCCCATCCTCATCAATTATATTCCATCCCTCGGGCTGAAAATACTGTCCAGGCTTTCTATCTGTGCACTATATCCCAGTCCAGAAACTCCCACCAAAGCTTTGCTCTTTTGCTCAGTAAATACCACAACAATGACAACACTGAAGTCACGGTTCCAAACTACCCCTCCAAAGTCACGTTCCGCTCTTTGGAAGATGTTTATCCAGGGATGGTTATCTCCAATAATGCCCAACTGCAGCCTGTGTCAGTCCACTCACAGAATATTGTAAATATTAAGATTCAGAGAACAAAACCCCCACACTTGCATCTGCAGGCTCATTGTACATTCCCCTTAAGCTTCATCAAAGACAAAACGGGATTGTTTTCAAAACAAGGATGACAAAAACACACATGAAAGAGTTAAGAACACTTAAGACTTTGAAATGGTAAACAACTAAACTGAACCTTGCCCTAAATTCTTACTTTAATCTACCAAACCCAGCCAGCCAGCATGTTCCCTACAGAAATAACTGCTGAGTAGCTTCAGGAAATTTGAGTAAGGACATTCTTATCTAACATCATAATTTGTAGGGAAGTTCACTTTAATGCTGCTGCTGCAGTCTTAGTGGAAGGACATTAAAGCACATGAAGGCTGTTTGTCAGCATGGAAGTTGAATTTATTTTTTGAAGTCGCAACACCACTTGGAGTTCACTGTGGGAAAGTTTTTCCAGCACTGCTGCCCTCCAAGGCCACAACATATACAGTAGGTATGTTTATAGTAAGCAGCCAGACTGAGAAACCAAACAAAAGATAATCAAATGGCTTGTGCAAAAATGGTTGAGCTTAACTAGACTGGAAAGACACAGGCAGATGTGAGCCAAGCACACAGAGCAGGCACAGCATCCACTGCTGCTGCAGCCTCCCAGGAATTCCCAACGCTCCATCCATTTAACCCTGTGTTATAACACTTTTCTCCAAGGAAGGAGAACGGAACGCAGCCACCAACCACTGAATTTCTTTGGTCTCAGCCTTCTCAAACTTTTATTAGGCAGCAACATTTCCCAAGACAAATTCTTCTGGGCAAGACTGAGCATCCAGTCAGTCCCACATCACTTGTGGTAAAAGCTAAAGAGTTAATTCTTGTCCTGGCTGAATTCCAGTGATGAAAAATTGTGTTCTCCCTGATTAAAAAGCCCTTTGCTGTTTCCCCAGGGTACAATCTCTTTGTGTGCTTTCTACCTAAAATGATGTGCTGAATTTCTCGGGATGTTTGAAAGAAATGCTTTGTCACACCTAAAATTGGCTACAATTTGGAGACAAATGAATCTGCATCACAGGCATCATGAAAGACAGAGTGAGAGACAGGCAGGTAAGGCAAGAATTTGCAGGCATTTAATTCACTGCTGTTCCTTTACATAACTTTATTTTTTTTATCCAAAAATTATGTTTGCTGACAATCTAAAAAGCTCAGCTAAAGAGAAAAAAAGAAAAGGGAAAAAAAAGGCAGTTTAATTCCATTATCCAATGAGGTTCTTTTCCAGACACTACACATATCTTCCACAATATTAAATTATTTTTGAGACATAAACAGGAGATAGTCACCTTCCCCCTCAGTTATGAAGTGCACTAGAGCTGCAACAATATGCAGAAATTTATTGACAGCTGTTGATGAAATAAGACCACAGAATCACAGAAAAGTCTGGCCTGGAAGGGACCTCCTTAAAGTTCTGATTCCCCTAGCCCAAATTATTTTTATTATATTCTAAGATGGCTGAAGAATGACAAAGAAAGTTCAAAGTACCAACATGACCAAAGATTACTGGTATTTATTTGTCTCAGCTTCTGGCTCTGAAACTTTTCCCCTCAAACAGCCACACAAAAGGATTTCTGCTTTTCTGCATTGCAAATGCAGCTTCAAGGCATGAACACCTGACAAAGGACAGTCCCCACATCAATTTAGATAAGAGACAATACAGGCTGAGAAAAACACATTTTATAATGTATGTAAAACAAGTGTAAATTAGTATTCCATGTATGAAAGGCAAATTTATCACAATCAAAACTCAACTTTTTTTTCAAACATTTACTTATGCCTGATTAGAATCTAAAGAACTTGAATAATAAAATGTTTGATAGGGATAATCAGGAATGCTGCAAGGAAAAGAGGAAATTTCTCTTATTACTCACAAAAAGTAACAATATCAGCAAAGTAACACAACAGATTTACTTCTCCTGTAGAAAACGTTATTATTAAGAATATCTGAAGTCTTCAGATTAGACTGTTAAGCTTTGACCTCTCAGCTTAGTAAAGAAATCATAAAAGCATTTCCCAAAACTTTTCACAGTATTTTTAATAATAATATTAATAAAAAAAATAATCTCAATCACTGATGTCGGTATATTATGAAAACTGAAAATATATCCAGAATGTGACCTTAAAAATACAAGAGCTTTGAAGAAGAGGAAATTTAGAATATATTAAAGAAGCAGAAGGCTGAAAGATGACAGTAAAATTAAATTAACAATTTATAACTCATCACTTCAATGCACACAAGCCCAAGCTGGAGCAGTGGAGGCTCAGCAGCACCTCACAGCTGGAAGACACCAGGATCGTCCCACCAATGTGTGCACCCAGCTGGGTATTGGCAGATTCTTGGATAAAAGGATGGCCTCCATATAAACTTGACTGAAATACTCACAGCTTCCTAAAATTCCAGATTCTTACCAAGAAAAATCCTCATACAAAGATTGGTATAACCAAAAAAAACCCAAGGAAAGTTTAAAAAGCTTTTCAAGACAACAGCTCTTCAGCCCAGGCAGCTCAAAGTGAAAACCATTCTGTATCTCCTTTCCTATCTACCCCCACTACTGAAGTATTTTTTTGGGTCAAGGGTCTTCTGTATCTGAGGTGGGATCATAGTAAATTAAACGATTTGAAGCTGGGAGTAGCAATTAAAGGCCAACAAGATGCTCCCATAGCAATTTAAATGCTTGCAAATAACAGCAGCCACATCTGACACTCAAACCTTACAGATTCCAATGGGCTGCCATCATTTAGTGGGATTTTTTTATTTTTAGCAATGACATATTCTTTTAGTGTGACACTCCACTTAAAACTTCCTGACCCTTTCAGAACCCACTGGAGGCCGTGATCCACAGCAGGGAAACGCTGTTCAGCACAACCCCTCACAGACCTCTCTTTTACAACCTCCAATCCTCTTTGTCAGGTAACTCCCAACAAGTCTTATCAGGCAATCAAAGTCTCTCATGAGCGACTTCTTTAATTACCATCCCTGGAGAGGAGACTTGAAAAACTGATTTATGTGCCACGGTAGCCAATTTGTTATCCAAGGGAGCTCCCGTATCAGCAGAGGATCATCACAGTTTAATAACCAGCCATTATCAACACAACATGATTGCAAACTGGAATTTCAATTAGGAAAAGAAATAAAATACAAATAAAATGACAGAGATAAGAGATAAGCAGGCAGGCAGATCGACACTGATATAAAAATGCAGGATATAAAGAGATCCTTTGTCAGCATCAGTTGGTGTAATTTGTAAAATGGCCATGAGCAGGTTTTCCCCTTAAAGCAGCTTTAAAAGCTCAAGGTATTACAAGCTTCCTGTTCATATCATCCAATGGATAAATACAGCCCAAATATCCAAAATCTGCAAGTGATTGCACCTTTGTTTCAGGCACCTGTACAATGCTGACACTTTCACCCATGTCCACCCTCAGCTTGGAAAAAGCAAGAGAAACACCAAGAAGGACAGAAAACCATTCATATCCGCTGTTATCATTTCTGATTGCACTGAAGAGAACTTGGCCACCCATGAAAAACCTGGACTGTAATAGGCAAGATTTTTAAATGCTGTCATATCCCTCTGGACTGACAATAGTGTAGAAAGAATAAAGATCATTTGGCAGCTGATTCAAATGACAACATAAAAATACGTGACTATGTTTCAAAAAACAAGGCTGAGCTATTTTGTTAAACTCGCTCTCATCACTTCTAACTTTGGCTGCAACTCTGTGAGCTTTCAACCTGTGAGAATAAGCACAAGAGCAGGAAGAAAAGAAAGAAGAAATCTCCCTGTAAAAATCAAAGTGATCTTAATAAAACTAAATTGCTATAAGGTTGTTAATCCTAATGAAATAGGTTAAAGAATTGGTGGTACAAATGAAAGGGTTACAAAAAAGACAAAACAACACAATAGAAAAAATACATTAAAATACAGCTGCAGAGAAGAGGTACTTCATTGTCACCTTAGAATTATCATGGAGTAATACCACAGAAAATACAACCAAAGGGAATAAAGTCTTATAAGAGTAACAAATTTGAATTATTGAAAGGGAAAGAAAGAGGTGAACATATAGAAAAGCCTCCTTTCAAAAGGAGGCCCACCGAACAAAAAAAAACTGAGTTGTATTAATGGCTTGCAAATTCTGTATTGGTTAAAAAAATAAACACAGAAAGCCAAACTCTTCTTTCATTTATACAAGTATAAATAAAAAATAATGCTACAGAATCATCAAGAATTAGTCTGAATTTCTACCAGAGTAAGACTTGGTTTTGACCAGCAGCCATTATTTTGCCTGATTTATGAGTAACCATATTAAAGGTGTGAAGATTATTATTACTTAAAATTTAATATTTTCTTTTCATACATTCATAAATAACCTTTCCAAGCCCTAGCAAGTATTTCTAAAAGACTGATTCCTTCATGAAGTTTTGTTGGCTAAGCTCAGAAAGCAAACTACACTACTGAGAAGTGCTCACTGCAAGTTAATAAATACGTAAAGTACTCAGTTTATTTTACCCCAAGATTCCAACTATTGAGTCGTGCTTCAAGGTCATCATCATCCAATGAAAAGTTTCTTTTGTGCTGATCATCCTAGAACATAAAAAAAGTCAAAGAAAACATCAGAATTGCTAGCAGATACATAATTCAAAATCAAACTTCTCACTGTCCTAGCCATAGCTTCACTGAGCTTCCTAATAGTGTCACAATACTTCTGATAGCTTTCACCTAAACAGCTCAGTTTCCAGAAGACACTGGGCTGAGAAAGCAGTTCAGAGGAAAAATTAGCCTGGCCCTCCAATTTAATGTTCTTCTTTATTTATTTCCAAAGCAATGGTCTCCTTTACAGAGGGTGACTTTATTAAAAAATCCAAAATACTCCATTTTCAGGCATCAATTCATCTCCACAGTTCCTGTTATGGGGATAAGCCAAAATTCAGAGATCACCTGATCAGCCTCCTATTAAAAAAACTGATTTAAAAATGAAAGGAAACCTCAGCAAGGCAAGGATGGTTATCAAAGCAGAGAACAGAGCAGCTGCTGCCCAGCTCCAGGGTATTCCTGATTTCCAGCACCCAGCCAGGCTGCAGTTATTGCTGCTCCAAGAAGAATTGTCTCTCAGAAGAGAAGTTTTTCCTGTGGGATAACAGTAACTACCAACATTTAATGTATCTAATGGGGAAAGCTGGTAGAGAACATTTTCCTTGGCTGAGGTATTTAGAAAATCAACATTTAAGCCCGAATGATTTTGTCTCATTAAGTGAGGTTTGTGTATGGACCTTCTTTAAATCTCATTTGTCACAAGCATCCAGTGACCAGAGCTTGGGCTGCTGTTAATTCACACTTAGTTAAGGCAGCTCTTAATGTTTCTTAAAAGCCTCCCTGCTCCTCTACCTGGGCCTGAGTGATGCCAGAACATCTGTGCATCCCTGACAATGGAACAAGGTATTGTTTGTTCCAGCCATCCAAACATTATCAAACTGACAAAGCAAGAGAGGATTATTTCACTTAAAGGCCCTTTTAAAGCTGTAATCATAGGAGAATCCAGTATATGGAGCTGAAGAACACTAAAGTGCAGTGATTTGTCTAACACTGACCTGGAAGCTGCAGCAGAGCCAGCAATAACAAAAAAAAAAAAAAAAAAAAAAAAAAAAAATCTTAAAAGTAAACAAATCAAATCAGCAAAACCCCCCCACAAAACTTTAAAGCCCCAAATCCAGGTTTCAACTGAAGAATATAATTTTTTTTTTACTATAACTCTTCCACAAGGAGTACTTCCTGAAGTAAAAATAAACAGCAAACCAATAAGGAGAAATGTAGTAAAGCCAGCATGTGGTTTTCTTTTTAATTATGGCATTTCTGTATTTAAATTCCATTTGTATACATACAATCAACACACACATAAATGCATTCACAGCAATCAGAGCCTAGAGCACAGACACTGATTTTTGCCCACTGAGCACCTGTAACCTGCCCTGATAAACCATCCCCTTGCTAATCCTCTATTCCAGATGCACAGCAGAACACAAATTTCCTCAGAAAAGAGCTTCCAGCTTATCCTATTTGCACTTCATGTCCTCATAAATTCTCAACTGTGCCCAGCTGCAATCTTTCTAAACTATTCATCTGATGGAATCAAAAATGAAGCGTGGGCAGAGCTGGAGGAACAAACAGGAAATTCAGTGTTCACAGAGGGGTGAGGGTTGTTCTAGGTGTGGTGAAGGACACTGCAAAGCCACAGAGCACATTTTGGAAGGTAAACAGCACATTTCTTGGTATCACACATTTGTCAGGAGTAACTGTCAGTGCAAAGCTTGCAATTAAATAAAAAACATCATTGAATATTTTGGACTCAAAGGGTTTCAGACAAAGCCTGTTCAATGCCCTTTCATCAGTCAAAATGTTCATTGGGGAAAGTCTGATGAAACAAACTGTCCAAAATTCACTCTTTCAGAGGTCAACCCTTACTGAACAGAGCCAGAGGCATCTCTGCAGCTTTCTTTAATCTGTTATTGCAAAATACAAGATGATGTCAATGCAGGCACGTTGCCAAGCCTGGGGAAAACAATGCAGCAGACTCTGAAAACACAACACTAAACAGAGGTCAAGCATTAAGATGAACTGAGAGCATCCTACAAGAAATTCTTTTCCCCAACACTGGAGAGGACAGATTTTGATGAGCTTTAGTCCTCCCTATCACTCCCTCCCAAATGTCTGCACCTTTACAGGGATCATGACCCACACAGCAGGAAATAACAGCTTTACAGGGATATATAAAAGCATCTCAGGGAAAGCAAAGCTTTAGGACAAAAAGGAGAAGCATCTTACAGACAGTGACGTGCCTAGGTCATCTTCATCTGTCCGGTGAGGAGAAAGCAGACAACAGGACACTGCTGATGGCTTCTCACCGAATCTTTCCCTGTTATTAATGACAAGAGGAAGCAGAAAAATTCATTTTCAGCAACTTGTGCACACAAAGGATGTTAATCACAGAATAGAATTGGCTAAAATATACACAAGAAAATAACTGTCAAGATGGAAAGATTTAAAAAAAAAGGAGAAAAAAGAAAATTTTCATGTTAAAGGCAAACAAAAGCCATAAGTGTTCCCTTAAAAAAACACCACCATAAAACCCCACACCAAAAAATACATTAGAAATATTGTGTGCACGTCAGTACATTAAAAAGTATTCTTTGCTTTTCTTTCACTACATGACCCAACATCTCCCAAAGGATTTTAGGATAAATTCAAGCTAAGGAGAGGGCTGATCTAAGAGAACATTTTTGAAACAAAATGGCTAAGAGTATGAAACAACTTAAGATGGAGTCCAGTGACTCAGAGAAGAAAGAGGAATTAAGGGGGTGGTTAGTTGCACCATAGGGGAGACTTTTAAGAGTAAAAAAATAGGTTAGAATAAGGTAAATTATCCTATAACACAAAAAGGGCAAGAACAACACACACAGCTCTGTACAAGGGCAGTGGCTTGAAAGGCTAAGGTGGAGAGGAACAAGTCACAAAGACTATCTTGGTTTCATTTCATTTCTGTTTTATGGACTAAAGTGGAATTTATGGGGGATGGTAAAGAAATGCCCACAAGACAGTACACAAGCACAGCAGGACCAAGTGCTCTGTCCAGCAGAGGGATTTTCTGGAAAAGCTATTGTAAATAAAACACTTGAACAAAGGGAAATGCAGATCAGAAGATAGGTGAAGAGAATTGTCACTGATGCACCTGGTCACAGGCATTCCTCAGCCACAGAACAGGGGGAAAAAGAACAAAATAAAGTAAAAGTTATAAGCATTTGTTAGATGGGATGATACAGCAAAAGATCCAAAACAGTAGTGAAACACCTTTCAGCACATCCTACACAGGTATTAAGGTAATTAAAAACTCCTGTTGCTCCCTTCACCTTCCTATAACTGGCCATTTAATATTAAAATCAAATCAGAGCATCCAATACCTCCCTTCCTTTCCATCTGGCAGCAAATGAGATGGCTGCTATGCCAAAAAGACACTGAGATGAATGAAGTGTTTATGAACAGAACAACAACTGTTAGATGTACAATATAAACCAGTCACTTCTAGGAAGACAAACACAAAGTTTTCACCAAGCACAGGGCCCTAGCTTTCATCAGAACAGCAGGGAACAGAGAAATACAACAACTGGGAGCCTACCTTCCCTTCCAGCACCAATAAATCCATATAAACAGCATGTATGGATGCACAATAACAATTACAAAGCAGTAAATAGTTTAGATAAGCAAAGTCTTAGGGGTAAAAAAGATCAAAAGGAATATGATAACACAATGACTGCCTCTTGCATTTCTTACTAAGATTTCATTTGACACAAAATTACCTTTAATTAAAGGGAGATAAATCTTTGCGTGTGAGTAAATCTGCCCTTTTATCAGATTTCCTTTCTGAGCAATACTCAGGTTACCTAACAATGCAATAAAGTTCCAATTGTTCAAAATGAAAGAAAACAGAATTCATGCCCTCGTCATTCAGAGATTCAGGAATATCAACAAACACACAAGCCAACCCAAGCTATCTGTAATATTTTCAATTTGACCAAAGGGAGGACAAAAGTCTAGATGCATTCTTAGTTCTGTATCTGATCTTTTGAAGAGGAACTGAAAAGGAAGCTTCTTTACTTGATAATACAAATACAATTTGAAAATATTGTTAAGGATGAACACAATTTTGCTCATATCAAGTGTGCACCACCTGTCCACTCCCTTTTCCAGCCTCCTGCTAATACGAGTCAGGTCCAGAAAGCACAAGATTAATTCTTTTTCCTCCCACTGCAGGTGAGTGAAGGATGATCAGAGTTTTGACATCATCCTGTGATCTCCTGCTCCATCCCAAGCAGGGAGTGGGCACAGGAGGAGGCAGAAACTTGCCGCTAATAAATGAGATTAGTAAATATTCCTCCTAGGAGCAAAGTGAGGCAAACTCACTGATTCCTCCTGGTCCAGCATGACTACACACCAACCTTTAACAATGTTTTCAGGCACACTCTATAAACACAGAGTAGAATTTTCCTGCGGGGTCAGAAAGCCCAGGTTTCTGTCCAAACCAATCTAAACATTTCTCAAACCAACCTTCTCACATTTCAAAATTAAGCTGCACCTTTCCAGCCCCAGCTGGTTGGATTTATTCACCCACACCCCAATTTGCAAGTAAGGTTTGTCTACCTAAGGTTTTTATGCAGGCAGAAAAACAACTTCATACAGAAAAGTCAAAATTGTCCAACACAGAATTATCTGCATTGCAAGATAAAAATCACTATGAAAAGAATTTCTCTTTGGGTCTTTGAAAGGAGAGAATCCTGAGATAAAGAACATCAAGTAGTTACTCAAACATGTCTCACTGACATTATCTATTTTGCCTTGAGAAAATGTTGTAGGAACTGAGTCATGGCTAGAATGCAAAATTTTCATCCAACTGCACAAATTCCATGCCCATGGATTCAGTTTTCCCAGTGCACATTCAGAGGAGAGAGACAAATACAGTGGAACTCGGTCACCATCTGCTGGCTCTACCTACAAAATGCACATCCAGAAATATTTAATATATTACATTGTCACCTGCACTGATTGCTCATCCAAAACTGTAAATACAAAAAGGATCTATATGCTGGATATAGGTAGTATCTTAACATGGTCACATTTAAGTAAATATTAAATATGTAAATATTTTGTGTTTTTCAAAACAAAACAGCTGAAATATTTATCTTCAGTATTTTTCTGCAAAATTTTCAAGGAAATTAAGTTTCTTATTGCTGTGAAGATTAATTTATGTAACCTACAGAACTATCAAAATTTTCCAACATAAATTCAGATTTCCTTAGACACAGCCCCACTCTTGGTTCAAGCATTCACTGGCAGAGCTGTGCCTGTACATCTGATTTTTAATTTCCAGAGTCCTTTAAACCAGTAACATTATTCAATTACATTTACTTGCTTCTCCTGGCATGCAGTAATTTGCAGTCCAGGGAATAATTTGCAATGCAGAGAGAACTTTCCAGAGAACTCACCAGAGTCTTGGGAACCACACTGATCACCAATGTAGGCATTACTTCATTCCCTCCGGATAAAAGGGGAAAAGTGAAATAAAGCTTCACTACACCAAAAATGACTTTGGGAATTTTGCCAGGCCAAGCTGAATCTTAGGTTCAGACACTGAATGGGAAAAGACATCAAATTCCCAATATTCTACTATGAACCAGGTAGCAAAAGAGAGAAAAACTATGGCAAAGAAGGGAGGGAATAGGTGGAAGTGCACCTCAAGTGGGGACCAGCCCCACTGGGATGAAGAGGGAGGAACATGTAAATCCCACCCCAGCTGACAGTACAAGTCAGGAATTCAGAGTAATAAGGTGTATTTTTATACCACAAATATGGCCTTGTAGAGGTATCAGTGTGCTTAATTTGGCCTAAAAGGGGAGAGTTGTGCTGGTATTTTATTGCTGCTAACACCCAGAGTGATACTTTGACTTGATGTTGCTCCCAGGGGCTGACACAATCTGGTCACACCCAGGCCAGGTATGCTGACATGGCACAACAATAACAAAAATTCATCCAAGGTCTCAAAAAACATTTGTAAAACATGATGTACTCCTTGCTTTCATAATGTCAAATCTATTTTTTTTTAAAATTAAGGGTATCTGGACAGCTCCTCCCAACAATTCTCTGTAACACCAAGCCCAAAACAGTAATATCATAACTCATCTGGAAATTCTCCATTCTCTGCCTCTGGTTCTTAAACCACAAGTCTGTTATCAAAACCACAGGTTCTTAACAGAGCACAAGTGCAAGCAACCAGAAGAGCCCCTAATCCTCAAAAAAGGAGGTAAAGAGACCTCAGACATAAGAGTAACTTCTTAAATGATTGTTAGAATTACACACAGTTAATGGATACAGAAGAGTTGCATGATACTCAATATTAATGTGATTTAACTTGCAAGTGTCCATCTGTCACTTGTCCAAATCACTCCTGAAAAACTAAAAACATGATTGAAAAACGAGGATAAACAGCATAAACATCAGTGTGCCTACAAGAGAACAGCTAATGGTGGCCACGTATGAAAGATGTAAGCAAAAACATTAAAAAAGCATTGGACTTCTGAAACTAAACTTAAACATATACTTCTAAAAAATGAAACAAAACCAGAGGCAGAGGAAACGCTCACTTCTTGTATAGCACCTACTGAGCTTTGACTAATATTCACTCCATGTCTAACAGTGCTTCCTTCACCAAGGATTTCAGAAAGGTTAAGCATTGACTTATGTTGATGTTAAAATGGGCAAACAAGTGGAAATTACATCCATGACTGAAATGCAGCCACATAAAGAAAAAAAAGATCTTGATAATCAGTGCAAAGTTGCACTAAGTAAGAAAATCCAGAAAGCAAATACTTAAGAATGGTAGATTAAACTAGAATTTACCTAAGATTCTCACAAATTAGGACAGAACAGAGCTGAAGTTTTCCAAGTGTCCAAATGACCAACTTGTCACTCCTTCAATACTGCAGGGACATCTTTCTAAGCCAACAGGAAAACAAGCCTTAATAATATGACACATTTCACCCCTTCTTCCCTGCTGTAAACTGCTCTATTCTCAGCTGCCTAGGACCCAGGATGAGGTTTAAGCTCACTGGCTGCTGCAAATCAAAAACCTAAATCTTGTTCAGCAAAACCTGCTTATCTGCAAGGAGCCACTATTCTGTTTCCTCTAAAAAACCTGTGAGCAACAATCATAGAACAACCCCTAAATCTACCATCTGTATGCTTGTTTATATCTCTAATTTATTAGGGGAAAAGCCATTAAAAACTATTTGATAAAACAGCTGCTTTCACCATCGTGGCCTTAGACTACAGATGTAGCCTTTGACTTTCCACATTAAGTGTCTGGAACTGAAAGGAGGAGGAGGACAAGAGGAAGGAAAAGGGGATAGAGGGATGGGAGATGGAAGAAGATGTAAAGAAGTCAGAGAAGAAGACATAATGGAGAAAAGTAAGAACAGAGCAGTCTGGAAGTTCTCATTACATTGAAGCTGTTCCCAGAGTTTCTGTATATAAAGCACAAACACTGATGGTGAGTCCATGAGGGAGTGCAATAAACTCATACAAACTGAGACATCCAGAGCCTACATCTATTAAATAAATAAATACAGATCAAACATTGCTGAAGCAAAGACAGAAACCTTACCCATGTGCAGGTGTTGCTGAAGATGAGCCCTCCACAGAGGATATGTTACTGTCATGGTTTCCCAGCTCTCCCACCACCCACTCAGGTAAGCAGTCAGCGCTGCTGTTCCGAAATCTTGGTGAAATTGGTTCATCAAAATAAACGGACTAGAATGAGAACAAGTGCAAAATCAACATGAGAAGATATATACACAGACACATTCTTTACACCCTTGATGTCATTTCTTGCAGGACTATCTGCAGTAGAAACACTCGTTTTCCAGTGAAGTCAGAGAGGTGTGCAAATGCCACCTTCCCAGCCCATGGGAATCCACAGCAACAGTGTAAATATTCTCCAATATTTCTTACAGGGTGGGTAATTGTAGCAAAAACTGGCATTGTTATATCACTGAAGCTGATGCCAAGGGTTGACACAGCATATTCAGCTCCTCAGCAAACAAACTGGAACTTTAACAATGTCTGTGTGAATTCTATAGTCTTCTCAGGCTACTGAAGTCACCACTTTCAAGAGCAATTTTCCTTTCACAAGAGATATCTACTGATTAGGACAAAAGAAAGCCTCCAGGACCTTTACATTTTTCCAAAGAACAAGAAAAAGATTACTTTTCTGTTCCTTCAAACACCTATTTTCATTAGCCTTCTAACCAGAATTTTGAAAATACAGGTCACAAAAAGTTTTTCCCATTGGAAGGTTTTCCGACCATCAGTTACAAGAAATGCCTTTATTTATCACAGGGAGTTCCACTCAATCCATTCAGAATCGTTTGCCACATTTGTGTCAAATCTAAGATGGAAAAGCAATTCCAGGATACATTTTAGCAAGTTTGTCTCATAAAGAAATGACACTCACCATGTAGGCAGGCAAAGTTCTCAGCATTCCCTCCTCTGGTTTTTGGCTGAAGGGACCATCCAGAACTCCTCTCTGCAGCATGTGGAGCAACAGTTTTGCATACAAGTTTCGATTCTCCCTTCCCACTATTCCTATGCCTGTTCCTGAGGGTTTGCAGAGTTTTTTAATCCATAGTGAGCATCTTTTTCTGTCTGCAAATATAGATATACGTGGTCACTATACATTTTCAGAGCAAATCAAACACATGAAGAAAAGAGAAGCTATCACTGGTCACCAATTTTGTAGGTTTCTCCCTTCTACACCAAAGTTTAAAACAAAACAAACTCCCAAATGACCAAAGCAAATAAAAGAAATGGTTAAATACTTAGAATTAAAGTCTTTAACAATGGTTCAAATTTACATATTTCACAAACATTTTCTATAAATTCAAGTTTACCAGAAGTTTACATCATTTTTGGAAACAGCATGGAATTGGAAACACCAGGAATTCTGCACTCACTGCAAGAGCTGTCATAAACTACAACTTACAGCTTGCATGAGCATGCATGAGCTTTAAATACACAATAAATCCTCATCCATTTTAAAAAATAAATCTCTATTTACACAAGCTTTGCTACCAGACAAGGAAATTATTCATTTGGTTAAATGTTTACACATAAAGCTCTTAATTTGTAGGGTTTGTGCATTTAATAATAACCAGCTTGTTGTAAAAATTAGATTTATACAACACCATTTATTAATTGATCTTCCTATTATTACACATTGATCTTCCTATTATTACACGTTCCTGAACAAATGTTAACAATTTTATAATTAAAAAAAAAAATGCTATCCCAGAAGCAATGCCCTTTAAAAGCTTTTAGTTTCCACTGAACTAGGTTTTTAAAGATAGATGTTAATGTATTTATGCAAAAGCACGTTTACATCATGAAAACAAGACAGAAAACATTCAACCTTAGAAGTTGTGCAAACCTCCCCGTCAAAAGTGTACCTTGTAATGTCAGAGATTAAGTGCCTGGCTAAATTAAGTGATACAACTACACATAATAACTGCCAGTGCCTAGGATTTTGTTATTAGTTATTAGTGTTTAAATGCACATTTTACCATATGTACCTGAACTATGCTGCAGGTTAAGCACATAGGGCTTCATAGCCACAACAAAGCGATCAAATTCCGCATCCAAGCTTTCCTTTATTTCGTCTTCACTGCTCATTTTGAAAGCACACAAAGTAACCTGCAAAATTAATGACATTGATGTAGAAAAGGTCAAATACTACATTGATGCAGAAAAGGTCAAATACTGTCTGTCTTCATCTCAGGCCACACAAAGATGTGCTTAGAAGAATACAGGAAGTGAACCTACATGTCTTGTTATGGTCAAATAAACACGAAACTAAGATTCTTTGTAAATAGCAGGTAGGCAGTGTAATCTACAAGAATGTGCTTGTTTAGCTTTGAAACTGAATAGCCAACCGCACAATAAATATATTCATTACACCCAATTTGTATAAAACACCTCAAGGCGTTTGTGTGATACCGCATTCCTAACCTGGTATTCCTTGTAATCAGAGGAGTTTCTTTTAAGAGGGGGGAGAAAGGAGGGAAAACAGCAAGTAGAGCGGTAGTTACACGTAACAGGAGCAAAGATGCTGTCAGCACTGTTTTGAAGGAAGCAGCACCGCGCAGAGCAGCGCTCTTGGCTCCCGTGCCGTTCACTCCCCAGCAGAGCGGGGACCTTTCCTGGCACGTTCCAGCAATGAACGCGTTCCTTTGCCAGCGGAACCGCACGGCCCGGGCCCGCCCCAGGGCCCTTCCCTGCGGCCAGCCCGGGCCGTGCCCCGGCCCGGGGCACACACGGGTGTCCCCGGCAGCCCTCCCTGCCCGGCCAGGCCCCGCGGGCCCTTCCCCGTTACCTCGGGGGGCCGCGGGTCGCGGTCGCGGCGGGGGAAGGCGGCGGCGGCGGCCGAACGTTCAAACCGGCCCCGCTCCCGGCGGCCCCGGCCCGCGCGTTTCCGTTTCCGCGGTGACCGGGCCCGGCCCGGCCCGGGCGGCCTCAGGCGGGGCATGGGGACCCCGAGCACAGCCCGCGGGGGTGGGACCGGGGTGGGCTGGGGAGTTCTTCGTCCCCAGGAACGGGGAAAGCTTTTGGGACTGAGGAGTGCGAGGAAGGTGCTGGTGGGGCACCGCGGGAACGCAGTCACAGCTCTGAGAGGCACTGGGCTCTTCCCTCTGGTGACCGGGAACAGGAACCAGGGCACGGCTAGAGCTGTGCCACGGGAGGGTTAGGCTGGATTTTAGGAAAAGGTTCTTCCTCCAGAGCGTGCTGAGCACTGAACATGATCCCCCAGGCACGGCCCCGAGGGTGCCGGAGCTCCAGGAGCGTTTGGACACGGCTGCCAGGGATGCGCAGGGTGGGATTGTTGGGCTGTCTGGACAGGGACAGGGGTTGGACTCGATCTTTCCAGCTGAGATAATTCTGTGATTCCTGCCCGAGGTGATGACTGTCACCACAGCCCAGCAGTGCGGTTACCCCAATTCACTGCGCTACACCCAGCGCTCTCCCCCAGTTCACCCCATTTGTGGATGCACTCAGACACGCACGCCTCCCCAGCACAGCCTCGGGGAGCTCCGAGGGAGAAACGGGAGATGCCAAGTCCTGCACCTGGGTTTGGCCGATCCCCAGCACAAACACGGGCTGGGTGAGACGGGCTGGAGCAGTCCTGGGGGAAGGATTCAGCTGTTGGTGGGAGAGGAGCCCAGCGTGGCCCAGCCGTGTGCCCTGCGCTGAGCCCGGCGTGGGCAGCACGAGAGGGAGGTTCTGGCCCTCTGCCCCTCAGCTGAGACCCCTGAGGCAGAGCTGTTCCTTCAAACACCGATTTGAAGGGCAGAGCTGCCCCAGCCCTGGGCCCAGCACAGCGAGGACCTGGAGCTGCTGCACAAAGCCCAGAGGAGGCCGTGGAGATGCTCCAAGGGCTGGAGCCAGGCTGGGAGAGCTGGGAGTGTTCACCTGGAGAAGAAGAGGCTCTGGAGACACCTCAGAGCCCCTTCCAGAACCCAAAAGGAGCCCAGGAGAGCAGGAGAGGGACTGGGGACAAGGGCTTGAAGGGACAGGACACAGGGAATGGCTTTCCACAGCCAGAGGGCAGGGTTAGATGGGATATATTGGACAGGAATTGTTCCCTGTGAGGGTGGGCAGGCCCTGGCACTGCTAAAAATCTCAAATTTCAAATAGTTGGCATTTGATATATACTGGAGCACGAGATACTTTTCAGCTCTGTTAAATCCATGGTAGATCCTCGCAGCAGAATAAAGCTGCTGTGTTTCTGCATGTTTCCTTCAGATTTGAATGCATCTTTGTCATACTCGTCACAAAGTACTTTGAAAAACTGAATTTGCTGGAATGTGATCAAAAAGAACATGAGGCCAAGCAAAATCAATGATTGGAACCCCTACTCCAGGACAAATTTCCTGAGGGAATAAATCCAGTTTCTGGGTCTGCTTCCCAAGGCAGAGCAGGGTGGCCAGAAAAGTTGGAGCCTACCTGAAGTGATTTGACAATTGCACAACTTCTGTCCAAAAAAAACAGAAAGAAAAATAAAATATTGAAGAAATGACTGGGGTCTTGTCTCCATCCAAAGCTGCAGCCTGGACGTGAGGAGCACTGATGTGCCCTGACCCTCCTGAGGAAATCACTGTAGACACATACAGAGCACAAAGGTATCCCAACCAGAATACAGAACAAATTCCCAATTTGAATTGTAAAAATACAGTCATTTAAGTAAAACATATTCAATACTTTTTTTTTTTCACCACATTTTACCATGTTCTCTTATCTCTTTAACTGTCTCGGCAGGTTGCCACAAGTAACATGAACACAGCTTAAGGCATTTTTTCAAACATTTCAAAAATACAGAAAAAAATAAAAAAGAAGGCAGGTTTCACTGCCTCATACCAGCTTCTGGAACACTTTGAGTTGCAAGACGTTATTTTTCAGCCCTTCTGAGCAAATCTTTCATGTCTGTAAAGTTGTGATTCACAAACACCTCACTACTTCAAAGAGTTAACAGATATTTTTTCCTCCCTCTTCTTGCTTCAGGAGAGTAGATAATAAATTCAGCATGTGAACATTGACTCCTAAGGGTGATCCTTTCAAGTATTCCAGTGCTTCACATCCAGCGAGGAAGCAGGGCCAGCCGATTTGTTCAGTCATTATTCTGCTGCATGGGTAAGTAGAACAGGGAACATTTCCTTGGAAGAACCTCAGTTTTCCTGGGGCAGCTGTTTTTGTACAAAACACAAGTTGTTTCAGGGGCAAGCAGCATTTGGGTGGCAGTGAATGCTAAGCTTACTTACGCCAACTTCACAGGGTTTGCTGTGAAACACAAGTTAATATTAAACTGTGTTTGGTATCTCAGCAACTGTCCTGAACATCCTGATCCCAGAGATGGATCCACACCATATTTAGATTGGATTTCCAAATTAATTGGCTCCTGCCAGCTGAGCTATGGATGTGTTAGGAGTTATAGGTGTCTTGGCCTGCAGACATCATTTGAGGATCTCACCTAAACGTGTTCAGAACCAAAATACGACACATGATGCACCAACAAAATACCCATTTCAGTTGCCTGCATAAATTTGTCTGTCTCTGCATTAGAAAATTAAATTGTTGCTGAGTACAAAGTGCTAAATACTTAATAATAGCTGCCTCAATCTCTCCTTAAAAATAGGAAGCATAAGGATGAATTATATCAGTCATACTATTAAAATATTCATATGCAGCCTTACAAAAAAAAAATAAAAAGATATATAATTAGAATATGTTCATAGTTTTAATGGAAGCTCTACCATCTTACAAGTAGCTTGATCTTAATATTAAATGGTCCTTTTAAAAGTTCTGCAGTGGATTATTACTGTGGAGCTCATGCTTTTTATCAAAGAAAGGCTTTTAAACTGCAGAGGGAACCCTGTATGACTCATGACAATTTATTATAAGTGTACCACAAATATTTCTCTATCACTTTCTAGTATGTTGAAATTATAATTACTTTTTCTGAAAGAAAATACAGACATAAGCACAAAATTTGCCAGACTGGATCATAACAGTGAGCTGCCTGTATCATAAATCAAATTAAAAGTATAATTTACTTCAGAGCTACTTAATGACCAGAGATCAGAACTGTTGCTCAATGATGTACAGTTCTGTTAAAAAAAAAAAGCAAAAGATAGAGAACTGAAGCAATTATATTGCGTAATATTGAAACAGAGGTAAAAATTAACAGTGGTTTAAAACAGTTTCAGGTGAAGTTAGAATCTCAAAAATGTAAATAGTCTTACTAACTTAAGCAAATTTTTTTTTTTAGAAATATTAAAAACCTCTTTATCTGATGCTATTGATGTTTAAATCATGGTTGGATACTTGTCTTCTAAACTCATTTGGAAATCTCAGTCTTTCTACTGACGTAAATTCTGGAAAATCCCAAGCTCGTGACCCTCTGCTATCTATAATTAAAGGTCCACTCCCTGTCACAGGGGAGTGGTAATGGAATCAGAACCCAGTAATTACTAATGAGTAAGGCCTTTTGCTATAAATCGGTCCAGAGCTAAAGGATCTGATTGATGATTAGATAATATTAAATAAGAACACACTAGTGGCTGAAAATCACTTTATTGTAAAGTAACTGCTGTTGAGGAAGTCATTTACAGTTGCATAAATGTTGGATATGTGGAAAGAGAAGCAGTAGTGCAGGGATTTGGAAGAAGGCAGAGACAAGAGAATGGAAGTTAATGGCTGAAATGATGTGTTGTAGCTTGTGGAAGAGACTGGTGGGGATGGTGGGAGGGAAGAAAGCATTCACAGAATCTGGAGTTCACCTGGAAATTTACACTCACGGGACCTGAGTTATTTACAAGACCCAAGTTACACTCACAGGACCTAAGTTTTCCTCTCATATGTGGAATGTTCTGTCTCAGTAAGGCAGAAATTTAGTACTGGGTTATTTCTCTGCTTCAGGCTTCATCTTCACATGCTTTCATGTCTGAGGGGTCTTTCTTCACCAGACTTGAAAAAAAGCCACGTTCTGTTGGAGACAAGTGAAGAACTTGGGTTAAATTCTTGAAACGTGACAGCTGAAAACAACAGCGAGGTGAGCAGTCAATCTTTGAATCCTAGTGAAACTGTTGGAAATGTTCCTTTATTTTCTATGTTAGTAAAGCTGAGCTATGTGCATCAGAAGCCAAATGTGAGGAGAGATGTTTTCATCATGCATGGCTGTGCTTTTCCTTCGCTTACAAATAAAAATAAAACTTACAAGGAAAATTCTATGCAAGCAATATTGACAAAACAAATGCGAAACATTTCCTCTTGCTAACAAAGTTGGTAATGTTTATTTATTCTAAAAGCCTTCATGCCTGTGAGGCTGCTCTTCCAGCACCAATTCCTCCTCATAGCTCTCAGCTGCTTTTCAACACTCGCTGTCCAAAGTGTTTTCCTGATCAGCATAAAGTGGGAATAATTCACCAGAATACAAGGAATATGTCAGGTTCTGAAACCTGCAGCAGTGTTCAGGCTTTTTATCCCTGAAAAAGGTGCTGATCCAAGGATTTGTGAAATCCCAGAATACTTTAATGGCCTTTTCTTTGGGCTAGTAACATCTTTAGGTAACATCTTCTAGAACAGGATAGGAATTAAAGCAGGGCTCTGACACAACCAAAAGAAAATTCTTGCTGGGAATTCTCTCCTCAGGCCATTTTCTTCCAAAATACCCAATAAGTCAGATACCCAATAATTCCTATAGCCACTCAAGCAGGTCTTGAAGGTGAATTATGACATTGTCCCCCACACTCAAGCAGCTGCAATTTCCACCCCACCCAGTGGTTTGTGAGCAGCCTGGCTCATACCTTTAAAACAGGCAGGGAGGGTGAAGTTGCCATCCACACACTCCACATCTACAGTGTAGGCACAGGATTTTTCCTTGTTCTTGCAGAAGAAGGATACAGTTTCTCCATGCATAATGCCATCCTTCAGGTCATTCTGAACTCTCTTCTTCTCACCATTGTACAATACTACAGCTTTCTTAGCTGGGATTTTACATGGTGCTGGAAAAAATCCGTTGTAAGGAACAGGTTTGAAAAGGGGGTAGATTAGATCTCATCAGAATTCTGTATAAGTGACATTTGGGAATGAAAAATTATCCTACGTATAGACAGAACTTCTGCTGGTATTAAAATGCTGAGGAAATTCAGACCCTGAAGCGAAGGGTCAAAAGTTTCCAGTGAAAATCCAGCCTCAGTGTAATTTCTAATGACATGAAATAGGAAGAGGAGAGGAAATACTCAGACAGAATAAAGTTACATGGCTGATTATTGAAGTCAATCCAGATACATCATGTCATGCAACATTCAGTGTTGGGAGTGGGCTTAGATTATCAGGGCCTTGCAATTCCTTTTTTGGCTTCCTTTTGAGCACAGCTCTCCCACAGAGCAGTGGCAACTCAACAGTCAGAGCAGTGGTCTGCTGGAAGAGTTCAGTTTGATTCCTGGTTTTTATGGGATGGGATGTGCTCACCTCTACAGGCTGGCTTTGTGGACCAGTTTCCAGTGTTCTCACAGCGGGAATGCTTGGATCCCTCCATCACATAGCCGGGCTGGCAGCCAAAGCTGACACTTTCATTGTAGTGGTACGTCCTGCGCACAGCAAACTCTATGAACCCATTTTCTATTCCTATTGGAGTGGGGCAGGTGACAACTGCGGGACAGAACCAAACCCAAAGCTTTATCAGTGTCACAGGTCAAAAAGACAGCTATAAACCTGAAAAATGTATAAAGACTTTCAAGGTGGTTCATTGCAGCCTCTTTCACAGGAAAACACAGCCAGGGAAAGCTTAAAAACCACAATGAATAAATTAACATTACTTATTTTAAATACACATCTTTTGCAATCTGTGGTTATAACATGACTTAAACGTGGTGTAATTTAACTAAAAGCAAGGAAGTTTTTAGGACTGAGGGTAAGGTTGGCTATTTCTTAGGTGAATCTGAGCACCTAGAATCAAATGTTGGCTGCACACTGGAGGCCAGGCTCAGGTTCCCCACTGTGCACCAGGTTTAGCAGGGTTTGTTTATATAACCTTTACACCTGCAGCAAATATTTTGTCAGTCCCATGTTATGTGCCATGGGTTAGCAATCCCCTGCAATGATTACAGAATTCAGCTGCAGAATAATTGTGCTGTATTAAAACAAAATATTAAAATATCAAAATTAAAATAGTGCTGTTCATTTAGTTTTGTATGTGCAATTCTCAGGAGTATTTTTTGGTGTGGATAAAAGAAAGTTACTCACCCTTGCACACTGGAATGCTGCTCCAGGTGCCATTGGCCATGCAGGTGGCTGTGTCATTCCCAATCAGGGCGAGAGGAGGGACACATTCAAACAGGATTGTGTCCAGGAAATGAGAGACGTTTCCAGGATTTAGGCGGCGGTAAGAGAGGACCCCAAACTCCGGAAGCGAGGGAGGTGCACAGGTCACCGCTACAAAAGCACAGCATCCAGAAAATTAAGGCTTAAAGATCAAATAATTGTAGAATCAGAAGAGCAGCATTCTTAAGACTAAATGAACCCACATGGAATCATAGCTGGCAAAACATAATTAAAAGTGTCAAGGGCCTCAGAATATGGAATTCATGAGTTTTGCTGGATTTTGCAGACAATATTACTGCTTTTCAGTCAAGTGTTATTGGAGGATAGGTTATAGTAAAACCCTGCCTAAGCATAAAGACATGACAATATCCTCTTTTTATAAACAGGGAGGAGGAATTTGAGTGGATAAGCATCTTACCTCCAGCTGTAAATAGCATCCCTGATCCCGACCTTTTGTTCAGACCTTTAAACTGTATTTCTCTAAAACCCGCACATATAAAACCAAACATGCAGCATTGTGCTTGATTTTCCCAAACCAGCTTTTGCACAGCGCTGGAGGAGACTTCTGAATAAAGGTGTATATAATTCTGAGCAATGGAAAGGAATATTTCTGGAATAGGAATAAGGATAGTTTTTTATTGAAACACATACGTTGACACTGTGGAGAAGTTCCAGTCCACTTTCCATCTGCCATGCACTGGCTCGTTCTTGAGCCGACGAGGTTGTAGCTGGAAACAAACAGACCTGGTTATCAGAGCAGGGAGATCAATCAAAGATCTGTCATTTCTCAGAAATAAGAATCCAGCTCTGAAATCTTTCTCTAGTTTAACAATTCCTGACTTCAGAGGAAGTTTAGAATCAGCTCTGAAAAACTGTTAATATCTAAATATTGTAAAGCCCCAGGCAGAAGTCTTGATACAACAAGATGCTTTGTCATTTTAACTTTATATTCTGTTTTATATATTAATTTCTACAACTGATTAATACTATGGATGTATGTAAATAGCAAATATTGATCTATGATTGCTAATGCAAATGTTATGGTTTCTTGGGAGGATTTCCCAGTTAATTATGGCAATTAGGATCAAATATTGGAAAGAACTCAGTACTCTTAAGAACTAAAGTCACCAAGATGCATTATTATATTTTAATCCCAGACATTTTAATTTCCATATGCACATTACATACTTCTCTCCCATCCTCTTTATTCACACTATTGACATCTACTCTGAGTTTTAAAGAAATATTCAAGATATGTTTGGCATTTCAATATCACACAGCTGAAAACCAGTAAATTAGAATTAACAAAATCAAATTGAGTCCCATTGCTACACTTGTTGTCATAGTTGAATTTATTTATTCCTTATCTCATTTCTCTTTTACAGAAAGAAGTTGTTGAGGCTGTTGACACTTTTCAGTGAGCTCTAGGCTGTGTCTCACCTGTGACTTTCCAGGTAAGCCCTCTTTCATTGATCACCCAAGTACAATTAAATACCTACTACTATCAAATGCTTCCCTGCATTTACCACAACTATTTTTTTAATTGCATCCTTTTTCCTAAAGCTAATGAGTAGCCCTGAGGAAAAGTGCATTTACTGCAGGTAAGTTAGGATTAACATCATGTTTTCATTTACTGAGCTTGGAAAGATACAGAAACACAATTTCCAGTCTTCAGAGCCCAACAGCATAACTTTGATGGAGATTATCTACTCTCTGCTATAGGATTTCATCTCATGATGTAATAAGAGGATTTGAAAAGCAGGGGAAAGCAGCCCAGAATAAATTTTTACATAAAATCTCTGCTATTTTGGTGGTTTCCATATTTGTAAGGCTTTTCTTTTGGAGTAGCAAAGCTCTATAATGTTATAGCCAAGACTGAACAGAGGTGGATCACCAGTCAGGATTTTTTTTAATGATTTGTGAAATGTAAATGAGTTTTTATGTGACATTTTCAATATAGTTCTCTGTCCTGCAGTGTATGGCAGTGGGTGATACTACAGTGTGATTTAGGTTGTTTATTTAGCAGCATGAGGAAGGGAACACTTACCCTGGATCACATGAAAAAGTTACAGTACTCTGGTACTGGAACTCTTCAAAATCCATTTTCCCATTCTGCAGGGGTGGAGGAGG